CTAAAAGCAACTAGGAGTTAAGGGGAAAGTGCCTCTCTTCTTCCATCGTGTCGTTCTTCTATCTGAAATCTAAAGCTAGAAAAAGAGTCTGCTTCACTGCTTTTGACAGTTGCTCAAATGGAAAAGCTTTCCCGGAAGTCTCTGATGCCATCATCTGATTGTGTCAAGGCTCCCTTCGTTACTCGAACATAAATGGGAAACCTGCTTTGCTTTAGAACCATGATGGCGAAGCTATGGCACGCGTGCCAGAGGTGGCACACTGAGCCCCCTCTGCTGGCATGTGCACCATTGCCCCAGGTCAGATCTCTTTCGTGAGCTTCTGTTTCCCTGCAAACGATAAAACAAGCTCACGAAAGAAAAAGATCTTACCTCTGATCTTCGGGTCTCTTTTGTGCATGTGTGCATGCCCAGGCATGCATGCATGCAAATCCGTGCATGAGCACTTTTCAGTTTGGGCATGACACACGCGCATAGTTTCGGCACTCAGTGTCTGAAAGGTTCGCCATCACTTGCTCTAGAATTACAGTTCCCAACATCCAAAATGTTTGGAAAATATTGCATGAGAGTTCTAAGGTTGATTGTTTATTTGGAGGTGTGTGTGAATGATTTCTCTACCTGGAACTGAATTGCTGGTTAACAAACTTCTTTCATGTGCCCATATGCCTTTAAATTAAACTGCACTATAGTCACTGTTTCCACATAACACTGCATGCACATCAAAATTTCTCAGAGCTAAACCACTGGCCACTTTGTATTTTGGGGTGGAGAGGATACACAATTTCTTGAAAGAGTGCCATTGTTTTACAAAGTATTCCATGGGGAATATTTCTTTGCATTCTGTCCCAAATTTCCCACTCATCAAATTAACACGACTTTAACGCCCTTAATTTATTTTTTTTAAGCTTCATCTTGGTGTGTTGAGTTGAATATCTTCTTTGGTATCTTTATGCATGAGGTATTCACCCATAAGTTTCTCTCAGCTGGATTCGGAAATTTTGAAGTCCATAAACAAGCTTACTTCCTTTCCTTACTCAGGTCTTCTTAAGATACCTAGGACTATGTTCAAAAATACCATCTGGTCACATGAAGAATACTTTCACTAAACATTGCACATTTTATTCATATTTTGTACGTATACACATACATACATACAAATAATTTTGTTGAATGAATTAATAAAGGCATTTATGTTTGTATCAAAAGAGAAAGAGGTACCTCAAGACCACTGGGATTTTGTTCTCAAATCTCAAGTACCAGTTCCAAGCTGAAGTATGTCACCTACATTATTCACCACCACAACACAATGGTACTAAGTTTCGTAAATTCTCCCTCCTGATGAAAGGTGTGCACCAAACAAGACCAGTGTTCTCCTGTCCTTCCAACTATCTTAATTCAGGATGAGGGGTCATTAGTTGAAAAGTTAGGATCCCTGTACTTAAAAGTGCCTGGAAAAACGTGAATGGGAAGTTAAGATGACTTAAATTCTGTACACAGAGGGCACAATCTAAAAGCAAGGATGCAATGAGTATCTTTATGAAGATTCTCAGTCATCCAGGTCTTGGTTGTCCCAAAGATGTTTCTTCAAACGGCACCTGGGCTTTCTTTGTTTTTCCTTTAAGATGTTTCGCTTCTCATCCCAGAAGCTGCTTCAGATCTGAATTCACCTTCATTCTTCAAAACTGAAGAAGCATCTTGGACGAGAAACGAAACGTCATCAAGGAAAAACAAAAGTCCCATTGCCTTTTGAAACTGCCCCTTCGTGATAAGGATGAAATGGGTTTCCACCAGTAGGAAAACCCATTTTGGGTTTTTCGTGGCTTCTCTTCACCTCAAGAGGCAATTTTAATTGCAAATGTGATTCACTGGTTCCAGAGGTCTTCTAACTGAATTGTCAAAAATGGGACTCAAGATTCGGAATAGTGTAGAGATGACTGAGGTCTTGAATTCAGGAGGAGTACAAAGACTACTGAGCCTGCCACTGCTGCGAAGTTGCAATCAATGTGTTTTGAATACTGTAGTGATTTTGAAAAGTGATCTTGATCTTCATGGGGTTGGTTTTTTTCCCCCCATCTGTTTAATGGAATGTTAATGATGCCTTTATGAAACAAATATGAAGAGTCCTGCAGTGTTAGCTTTTGAATATGAGATGGATTTATGCAATACGGAGCGTTCTGGAAACTGCAAAGAAGACACCGCATTTTTGTCGCTGTTATTGGTATATGTATTCCAACTGGTCCGGTAATGGCTCAAGGAGTCAGGCACACACAGTAACTGACTTCCCCACCCGTTTTGTGTCAAAAGATGACCTTGAACATACCAGTAATAAATAATGTTTTGCATCCGGTTGTCTGCTGAGTCCTCATTGCGATCAGTGTGTTGACTTTGATGGGAGGGCGGGGGGTGGGGTGGGGAAGAATCCATGAATGTCAAATGCTGGTGCAGAATAGCAATAGCATTTAGACTTCTATACCGCTTCATCATGTTTTACAGCCCTAAGTGGTTTACAGATTCAATCTATTACCCCCATCGATCTGGCTCCTTGTTTTACCGACCTCCAAAGATTGGAAGTAGAGTCAACCTTGAGCCGGTCAGGATCAAACTTCTGGCAGTGGGCAGAGTTAGCCTGCAATGCTGCATTCTAACCACTGCAGCACCCAGAGCTCTAAATATCTGGTAGTTTTAGAGAAAGATTTGCCATGGAAATTTGAAGTTGGGCCATCTTCTTAAACTCTTCAAATGAGNGGACTAGAAGACCTCCGAGATCCCTTCCAATTCTGCTAGTCTAGTCCAGTCTAGTCCTTGGTCCATTCCATTAATTGTCCTAGTCTATTCTATTCCATTCCATTCCACTCCATTATTTATTCTATTCCATTCCATTCCACTATTCTATCCTTTTCTATTCCATTATTTATTCTATTCCATTCCACTATTTATTCTATTCTATTACATTCCATTAATTGTCCTATTCTATTCCATTCCACTCAGTCCATTCCACTCCATTCCATTATTTAATCAATTCCATTCTTTTTCTTTTTCTATTATTTCTAATTCTTATTCTATTCTATTTGTGGGTGGTGGCCTAGGATCCTGGTCATAGGAGAAGGGTGATGAAAAGTGAGGTCTGGCTTGTACTCGGATGCCAAAGGCTGAAAGACTCTTGGAATGTTACTCTTTAAGATGTGTGGACTTCAGTTCTCAGAATTCCCCAACTGGAGGAATTGTATCTGGGAACGGAAGCCCACCCATCTTAAAAGTTGCCAAGGGTGAGAAACACTTGACTCGACTGAAAAGTTCAAAGGTTGCAGAAGTTATCAAGGGCAAGGCTGTCTTCAATATTGCTTGGAACATACGGTAGAGGCTTGGTACCAAAGTGGACTTCAGAGCAACTTTATCATGTGTAAATTTAGTCCAGTTGTGTTTGCTCAGAAAACCACAATTAACGTTTGGCTTAAATTGTATGGAAGCACTACACATAGGTTTGTGGCAGCTCTGGGTGTAAACTGCAGCATCCGATATCTACAAGTTATTTCTCCTGTCCCTTAAAAAAAGGTAACCGTATGGACAGGAATGTTTCTTTGTTGTTTACTAAACATGAAATGGAAGGCGGTCCAAAATTGCTAATGTACATTTTGGGCCTTAGGATGTTAAAGCACTTAGACTTAATATACCGCTTCATAGTGCTTTACATCCCTCTCTAAGCGGTTTACATAGTCAGCATATTGCATATTCCAACAATCTTGGTCCTCATTTTACTAACTTCGGAAGAATGGAAGGCTGACTCAACCTTGAGCCAAACTTCTGGAGTGAGCAGTGAGTTCGCCTGCAGTACTCCATTCCAACCTCTGCACCCCCAGAGCTCTAATTATATTGGTTTGTAACTTAACTTTTCACATTGAAGCCAAATTCTTGGTTATAAATCTCAAGAAGAGATTTTGATAGAACTTGTTTTGATCTCATACAGGATGTAGTTCTTGAGTGTGAATAGTTGCTTCTTTTTTTTCCTTTCTGATATTTTATATGCAGTGTTTATCATGCATTAAGAGGCCATTTCTCTTAGGAGGTGGCAGTTGTCAGCGCCAACCAATTGGGCTTTACCTGTGGAGTTTTCAGACTTACAGAGTATTTCTCTTGGGAGGTGCATTTATGTTATTTTCTGGTTGCTCCGAAAGCTGGAAAATTATTACTGTTCTCGTCACTATGGAGATTTTTGCTTATTTAAGGCTACCTAGTACTTGAATAAACCAATTTTCTGGAGTCTCATACTGCAGTGAATTATAAGCTAATTAAACAGAATATATTTGTTCTGCATAAACCCCAAAAGAATCCAAACTGACATTGACAGCTTATGATACTGTGGCTTTTAACAGGAAGGTCATTAATTGAAATGGTTAAATAAGTTGTATGAATAGTCAGGGCTTCCTAATGTTGATGCTTCATACCCAATAGAAAAGTTGAATAATGCCTTCCCATTTCAGGGTGGATTTGATTTAAATCCCTAATTTAAATCACAATTTAAATCACTAATGAAAAGGCTTGATTGAAATCAACTCGATTTAAATAATAATTTTTAAAGAGCAGCTGTCATCTCTGTCCCGCAGTGGCTGCTTCTCAGACCTACTGTGGACTCACCGACAGTCCTAACATTGCAGAACATACAGCCTCATGCTCCATAACTAAGCTCCGTTTCGTGTGGAATAAACTAAATTATTAATGTATCTTAAAAAGAAAGCTACCTTTAGACAGATTTTTTTAATAAAGCATTTTATTAAAATAAATTTGATAAAAATAAAAAAAATGCGAGTTAGATTAATAAAAAATCAGATTTAAAGAAGAAAAATCATTTATTTATTTTTAAAATCATTGATTTTCTTCCACCCTGTCCCATTTGCAGAAAAAATATCTTTTTATAATCCAATGCATTTCTTATTTTCAGACCAGGGGCTTCCCTCAATTCACATTATTAACTAGATGGTATCTTTTGTTTTGTTTTGTTTTGTTAGGATGTCCTCTAGCACCAAATTTGTGCCAGGGGCGATAAGCTCAACAGAGATCAAGCAGGTAGGTAGCTATGAGGTGATGACTGTTCCGATTGTCACCTGCCCCTATGCCGGAAGGGAACTTAGTGATCATCTCAATCCACTTTGTTGGGATGACAAAGCTGCCACTCAGGACAAAAAGAAAAGCCGGAAGCATCAACGCTACATGATGCGCAGAGCACTGGAGCAGAGTGGACACCTGGCAGCCAAGGAGAGGAATCTCGTTAGGACCACAGACGTCTCTGAAATGTATGGGATGCAGGACTCGTTGTCCTGGGAAAACGGAAGCCATCAGGCTCTGGAGAAGGATGTGAGGACAGCTCAGGAGGCATCTTCCAGTTTTGGTGAAGCTGTTTCCATTTCATCTGAGGAACTAGCCAGCCAGCCTTCATCTTCCCAAGGTCTTGAGAACCTGCTAATCTCCCCCAGCATCTCAGGAAAAAGGACTAGTCCCCTCCTGCCTCAGAAATCTGTGAAGCGTGTGGCCATTGACTGTGAGATGGTAGGCACCGGTCCTTCTGGAAAGATAAGCGAGCTGGCACGCTGTACGGTGGTGAGCTACGATGGTGATGTGATCTATGACAAATACATTCTCCCAGAACGTCCAATTGTAGATTACAGGACGCGCTGGAGTGGCATCACCTGGAAGCACATGAGAAAAGCAATTTATTTCAGGATTGCACAGGGTGAGGTAAGCACAAGAGATTAATTTAGGCGTATCCATACAATGTGAGGGTTGAGAGAGGCAAAATAATAGTTCAACCAGAATCTGCAAGGAACTGCAGAATGATAGGCAAGCAACAATACTTATGTCCACAGTCATAGCACTGTAGAGATGGAAGGAGCTAGTTAAGCCCTGAATTCCAGTCCTCTGGCTAGTACAGGTATGTAAATTAGTACATCCTTGATTGATTGCCTGATCAGCTTCACTTGATTATGAGTGAAGTTGATCTCATCATTTCTGCTTGATCAATTCCCGTTCTTCACATCCATCCATCCACCCATCACTTCATTTCCTTTTGTCCGTTTTTAATGTGTCTCCAGGGAAGCAGTTAGAATTCAGAACCTAGAGTGTTTTAAGTCCTCGTTGACCAATTTTGTTTAGTTTGTTTTTTTTCCTTTTAAACCTTTTCATATCTCTACTCCTTAAAGACTATGCACTGCTGTATACCTAGAGAGTCCCCATTACTTTATTGATTTCTTCTTGTTCTCACTTGTTCTATTTTTTGTTCCATTTTTGTGGACACTCAGTTGAGTTGCAGGAAATTAGAAAACATGGTTTAAAATTTTTCCTTAAGTGATACTACAAATTTTCTACTTGTTTTTTTAAATAAAAATGCCTAGATTAATTGGAAAAAAATAAAGGATGGATGAGATAGATAGATAGATAGATAGATAGATAGATAGATAGATAGATAGATAGATAGATAGATAGATAAGATATGAAGATAGATATTGATAGAAGATGATATAGATGGATGGATAGATGAATATTGACAGATGGATATTGATAGAAGATAAAAATGAAGATAGATGTTGATAGAAGATGATAGAGATAGATAGATGATAGATAGATATGACGATAGATATTGATAGAAGATAGAGAGAGATCTTGATCTGCTTGTTTGAGCGATGTATAACTGTCCTTTCCTGAACACTCTGGCAAATTAACCTCTTTTTTCCTATGTAGATCATACAGATCTTGAAGGATAAAATAGTTGTGGGCCATGCTCTCCACAATGATTTCCAAGCCTTAAAATACTTTCCCCCTCGAGCCTGGAGGCGTGATACAAGCCAATGTCCTCTGCTGAAGAAGAAAATTGCATC